ATTCTTCTTAAAATGAATTGTCTCGCTCCCTGTTACAAGGAGTCAGCATGGACTCATTCTGTAGGCTCATGTTACAGATGTTTCTCCTTTCCTGCCAAAGTCACTATGGCTACATTCACCAGGATTCTGTGAGGCCTGGTTATTAAAAGTAAGGGCTTGTCAAAACAAATGAGCAGAGCACATTCAGTGATGAGGTAACCTCCATCGATATACACTACAGCTTCTTCACTCTTTAATTTACCTATACTTGGGAGAAAACACAGTAGCTTCCTATACCCCTATACACATGCACACACGTGCTCACAGCCAAATTTGTATTGGGGTAAATTTTCAGTTTGAAAGCCTGCACACAGATACTGGACTTAACTTTCTTTACACAACAAGAGCTCAAAAAAAAAAAATCACAAACTAAGTACTGGAAGGCTTGGGTGGAAAAAACTGGAATATATGAAATGTTGTCCCCAGTTGGGTCAGTAGCTTGGCTGGCAAGGAAGCAACTCATTCCAAATGTTGGATTCAGTTTCTTTCATTCTCTGATTCAACAGTGGCCAGAAGCATGGCAGCCGCTGAATGCCTAGTCCTGAAGCAGCAAAACGATACAGGCAAGAAATTTCTACTGGAAAGAGGAACAGAAGGAGAGCAAAGAAAGACCGACAGAGAGAAAGGGGCCAAGCACGAGCTCTGTAGAGTCTGTCCACTTCTTCGGTTATGGGGTATTGCTGAATGTACCTGATGGGGAAAGCCTATATGGCTCCCGTGCCAGGGTGGGGCATGCAGTATGAGGGGAGACTGACAGGAGAACAAGCCATTACCATATAATGTGGTCCTCACTAAGACAAATAAATACACAGGAGCCTGAGCTATCTAACCTTGACCTTGGAGACTAGGGAACTCTGGCTGGGACAGGGGGGTCTAAGCTGAAGGCTGAAGGGTGAGGGTCTGAGTGGTGGGGGAGTTGCAGGGCACGGAGGAAGTGCTCCTGGTAGGGGCTGCACCAAGGGCGAAAGCCTGGAGATGGGAATTCTGAAGCAGAATTTCCAGAAAGATGGATAACATGGACTTAGCACCTATTACTGTTTTTGCTTCAAATAAGGGTCTTGAAGGGTGAGATCCAGGGTTGGGTGATAAGCAGGGAAGGTCAGGGGAGTATTTTCAAAGCCCAAAGGTACATAGATCGCATCTTCTTAGAATAGCTGGTTCTTGGCATATTTGGAGAACATCAGGATGTTTGTTATTGAAGAGGAGATTTCAGTTTAATCTGCTGAACCTGCTCCAGCTTCTGGGGAAGGGGTACTGCCTTTTCTGCTTGAACACTCACAGAAACCTCTGCGAAGTAAAGTTGTGCCAGGGTCTAGGTGAAGTGCTCAGTGTGGCACAAAACTTTGTATCTAGAGTCTGGTTGCTTTTACATATACTCCCTCATTTATGTTCCCCAAAGATCCTGAGATGTACATATCTTAATAATCACCTCTGTGGGTATAAGGAAACCAAAGCTCAGAGAGGTTCTGTATTTGCCTCATGGACACACAGCCAGGGCTTCTGATGTTGAGTTAGCTCTTCTCTCTTACTTCAGCTTGCTGAGAGCTGCAGTGCTAAACAAATACTTCACCTGTATCAAATATTTCATTTTTTTCAAATCCACTGCAATATTCTTTTTTTATCTGACTTCACGTACTACCACTCTATGAGGGAGGCACAAGATGTGTATTGCGACTTGCAGATGTAGTCTTCCTATTATAGATGAAAAAACTCGGGAACGGTTTGGCCAAGTAGTGTACTACTAAGTAGGGGAAAAGCCAGCTCAGACAAACCACTTCCGAGTAACATGTCCAAAGCTCTTCTGATTTGCCCTCTGGTTGTTCTGAAACACAGTCATGTGTCTGAACCACCTTGTGCAGAATCCCAGACATCCTCAACCCTGAACTGTATCATTTTGGGTGTTCATGAACTGTTATTCCAAAGCAACTGCTTTCATCTCCCCAGCAGAGTCTACACAGAAATGGTGGCGATGTCACCATCATTAAAGAGCGGCACATTGACCTCTGAGTACCTAACACATCTCACCCACAGATGTCCCTGAGCCGGTCTGTCACATGTACACTCCATAGCCACTTGGTATAATAACTCAACTTCATCTTCAAAGAAAATGATAATGACCACCTTTCCTTACATTTTATTAAAAAGGAAAGTAAGATAACACTGTACCAGAAAATGTCATTCTAGAGATCAGGGCTGCTCTGATGAATCTCTACAAACTTTTGCAGTTTGGAGCCCTAGCTTGTCACTTATAATTCTTACAAATGATTTGGGAGTCATTCCATTATTTCTAAACCTAAATACTGAGAATGAGCTAAACTTTACTAGTCTATGCTGATTCCTTGTAAAATGGAGTGAGACAATTCATTTTAAGAAGAATTTTGGTAGAGCAGTTTCTGTAATGTGTGACTATAGTCACAAATCAGTGAGCCTTTCAGGAGTCAAGCACACCAGTACGTGTATGTTACATGAGTACTGTTTCCCAAAGAACTATTGGCCTGTCTCAGCTCTTTCCAGTGATGCTGGCATTACCTAATGGATAGAGGCATAGAGGTAGGCTACTTTTAAACTTGTATGTGTATGTGTGATTTAAAATGAGTTTAACATTCCTCTTAGGAGGAAGGAAAGAATCCATGTTCACAGTAGCTGCACAAGAGAAGATAAAAGAATATACAACAGAAAAAAAATACAAGCATGCATATAGCAGAAGAAAAAAATATATTGTGTTTGGTGTTGGACACCACTTCTTAAGAAGGCTATGTAGGCAAATGGCAATGTACTAACACAGAGTTGAGGTCAAGACAGCCAGTGGTTGGAAAACTCTTGTCTCATGTGGCACAGCTATGGAAACATCTAACTTGGAGAAGAGAAAAGTACTCTTCTAAGACTCTAATGAGCCAGCAGGTAAAGGGAGGATTTGACCTCAAGGCTAGACACTGGAGCAAGTTTCAGGATGTCAGTCTAAGCAAAGACTTCCTGATGACGATACCTGGCATAGGGTTAAGTGGAATGGTCTGCTTTATGAGATCACAACTACCCAGCAAGGGATTGTTCCTGCAGAGGTTTGGAGGGATCCTCTGAAGGAAAAACACGAGAATCCTTCACTGGGCGGGAGGAATAGATCACCTTCTAACTCACAGAATATGTACACAGTCCGAGTTGGCAGGGGCACACCCCTGAAGCCAGACCAGGGCCTCAGGACAGTCCTGACCAACTCTGACCCCTCTCCAGAGTGCTCCCAGGACAAGCTCTCTTGCATCTGCCATCCTGACCCCACCAGGAATATGAATGAACAATGGAGGTTAAGGGAGAGGAAAAGAGAGAGGAGAGAGCAAGAGAGTTAAAGTGAAAATAATTTTAAAGAGAACTAGAATCTTGTTCAGTGAGAATATGATTTACTCTCCACTGCAGATGAAAACTTATTAATTCTACAAGGACCAAACTAGGACCTCATGAGGCCTGAACAAAAAGAAAATATCTGGGAAGAAAAAGGAAACATTTTTAGCACTGGGAAGCTGAGCCTGGGCTTAAGCCAACCATGTCCTGCACCGGCTTCTGGAAAGGAACTATGGAATAATTTGAGAACTGGATCCCTGGTACAGGAAACGATCCAAATCCAAGTTCCGAATTGTTGGCACACCTCAAGTGGTCATGCTTTATTCTTGATTTCTGCAAAGATGACAACCTGATTCCTGTTTTAGAGACATGGACATAATATCACAAGCAAGGGGGACATTAAAGACTGCAGCAGGAGTCAGTTATCTTGGCTTCATACTCACACCTCTCAGTGTTCGAGAAGACTAAACTTCTGCGCAACCCTAGACCAGCAGTACTTAAAGTTCAGTGTGCATGAGAATCAGCCAAAGTTTTATTAAAACAGATTGCTGGGTCCAACCCCAAGAGGTGCCAATTCGACAGGTCTGGGTCAGAGCCTGAGAATTTACATGTCTAACAAGTTCCCAGGTGATGCTGATTTTCCAGGTCCCAGAACCGCATATGAGAACTACTACTGACGGTCAATGGCTGGTCCCAGTCCTGGTTACATCTGCACCTAATTAAAAGATGGTGACCTCTTCCCTACATCCCCTAACTCCACAGATGTTAACTTCATTATACAGGATCCATGCATAGTGCCCTTCTGATTAAATTGCCTCAACGGACTCGACTAAGCATTTCCCATGAAGACCACCCAGAAACTTCAGGTCTNAAGTCTGTGTGTGTGTGTGTGTGTGTGTGTGTGTGTGTGTGTGTGTGTGTGTGTGTATGTGTGTGTGTGTGTGTTTTAATTCCCAGTGCTATACAAAGGACAGATATTGGCCTTACGAAACCCTACAAAATCTAGGCCTTGGTTACTTTAAAATTTCATTTCTCCATAGCACTTCATGGCAACAAAAATGTTATTTCTCCTGTTAATGAGATCCAGGTTTATAGCTTTAGATGCAGCCTTTTAAAGCAAGAGTCTCAATTTAGGGATACACATTCACTAGAACTACAGTATAATAAATCCCACACCTACTAATAAAGAAGGAAAATGAAAAAAATGTAATAATCTAATGAGAATTAGCTTAAAATTCAATGCATAAACAACATGTATGGACCATGTGATATTTAATATAATTCCCATGGAATCTGAAGCAGCCCAAGTGGCGACACTGGCTTACTGTGAAAAATAAGCTTGCAGTTTGTATTTTGAATTATAATTATAATGTTATTCTTATTGAATCCAAATCCAGAAATCAAGTTATTATGAATATTTTATGAATTCTTCCAATTAAAGTATACCACTTAATAACCAAAAGAGGAAATAAACTCTTTGTAACACTAACATCTCTTTTTTCTGAAGAGGAGTACAGTTTGTTACCTATGTGGTTAAGCAAGTATAGTGGGCTAAATGTCTGTAATAACCCAGTATTTGCACACTTGTCCATAAGAAATAGAGTTTGATTTAGCAAGCAGCAGTTCTTTAACACAGTGCTTTCATCTGGCCCTAACTTCCTAGAGGAAGGAAAAGGAACAAAATCTGCTTCTTGCCTAGCTGAGGTACTATGACTGAAAGTGCAAAACCTGAACATTGCTTACTTAGCATATGCATTTCCAATATGTATCAGAGTAATTCAGGAAAAACACATGGGAACACAAGATCACAGTTAAGTACCTTCAGAAATTTATCTAGGAAGTTTTATCCTCAGTTTCAACAATGTACTGATTTTTAACACAATACCTTGCACAGAATAAATACTTAATATATTGTTTGTTGTGTTGAGTTCATTTCCAGAATGTGATCACTGCCGAGTCATGTTAAGAGTTTCTACATGAAAAACCTTGGTATTGTCCTAAGTAACAAATGTTGTGATTACCATTTTTCTTCAGCTTGTTCTAACCCAGTGTTCATAATTTTCGTCTTGCAGTTTCCCCAGAAGTCTATTTTGGGGGAGGTGTCAATCTGCTATTCCCCCTTTCAGAAACTATTGGTGAGGGCTGTGAGAACTGCCGCTGACCTTGCAATGATGGAGTCCATCCCACTGATTAAAGCCAAGCTCTTTGTCGTTAGGCATACGGAGAAAGAGTCACATCTGCAAGCTGTGGTGTGGGACTTTCCTCTTTGGCCCCGCACAAGGACACCAACTTCATTTTGTAATTCACCAACATAAGCAGGAAAGGACTAAGAGCAGAGAAGCCTGAAGAAAGGGCTGTGAGAACAGCTGGGAAAAAGACGCAGGCTGCCAAGTCTTCTGAAAAAGAGACTAAGATAAAGTGAGAAATCCAAAGTGGAGTGATCAGCCACATTAATACAATACTAAACTTGGCCCCTCTAAGGATTTCAGTTTCTGAATCATCATCTCCGATCCAGATGTCACCATATGTCATCTTCCTTCTTTCTGAAAGGAGAAAAGACATCCAGAAACAGACGAAAACTAAGATTGCTAAAGGAAGAATATCCATGAGAACTAGAAATATTTTCCCGTAGTAAAACTCTACCTGCTTGTTTCCAAAGTCAGTCAGGCAATCCACATAAATGCTGTGTGTAGACAAGGGGTCTGTGTCATTGCCTGCATTCAGGTATTTTGGTTTCCCAGTGAAAAGTAAAATGGGGGTGTGCCCTGCCACACCAGCAGCCCAAAGTGCAGAAACCACCTTCACGGAATGCTTCTGCTGGTCCAGCCTTGGGGCCTCACTCACAGGGTGGACGGCTTGGTGAAGCTGCTGGTGGTAGAACAGTGCAAAGTGCAGCGTGAACCAGATGGCCAGGCAAGTCGTCAGGGCTGCTGTGAAGTGCAGAACTTTGCAGCCAGCTGAATCCAACACGAAACCCGAAGCATAAACAATTTTCATGATGTTCACCACCAAGTTTTTAATGAGGTGGACAAATATAAGACTGAAAATTAGAAGAAAGGATGTCTGTAAACGCCCAGTGATACATTTCCTTGTAGAATAAAATAAACACACATTTCCAGCACAGCTCACGAGGATTAGCGTGGTGCAAGCAATGATCTCAAGCATGTGTGCAGACGGCTTCATGGTAGATGGCAAATCATTTATCATCTCAAATGTCTCCTCTTTTCAGTTTAAGTCATCAGATACTTGGAAAACTTTGAAGAGGTCTTTGGTGAGAAGACTTGTTTGTTTTTTTTTAAATCTGCTATGTTGACAACATCAACGGGTGTCACCCTAACAGTTCAGAAATAGTCTGTAACAGAATTCATCTCGCTCCAGTGGTGAGGTGCTGAAAACAGAGCAGCTTCCTAAGAGGATTCTGTTTTGTCATCTCTGGGGACTTAACTATGATGAGAAAGTTCCAGGTATCATTGCTTAATTAGAATTTCTCAGAAATCTATTTATAGCACTGTAATGCAATATCCTAGATACAGTGTGATACCATTTTCAACAACCATGAAGGAGAGAACAAGATTAATCTTGTGACAGCTAAGGAAAGGTAGTCAGAGGTTGAATTACCCTCCCAATTTCTGGAAGAGAATTAAAGAAGTGGTGGTGTCTGAATAACAATGAAGATTTCCAAATAACAAAATGATACATTACCAATGACAGTAATAACATGATAGAGATTTATATAGTACAGCCGTTTTTTACTTTGTCTACATTTTTGCAAAGGAGAAACACTATTACCTATTTTGATGATCCCATGGGGTTGTCAGGATTGCAAAACAGATGATAGAAAATACTTGCAAAGGCAGTAGGGAAGGGAGCACAGAAGGAATTGCAGGAGGGAGGGAGGGAGGGTGGGAGGAAAGAAGAAGGATAGAAGAGAAAGGAAGGCACTTTTATAAGCATAGACTTTATTCCCATAATAAAATCTTGAAACTGCTCCTTAAAGAAACACTCTGATGACTGGGAAGTGATTAGAGAGACTTCCCACACCTAGAGCCCAAGAGGCTAGGAAAAGACTTTGTCCTAAGTATGACTGGAGAGTACTGATCAAGGACAGGAAAATGGCATGGAAACATGTTGTTCAAGTAATCTGGTATTAACTCACTTTATGCATGAATTCTGTTGGCCAACTCTTTCATAATGATCCATTCTGGGGACAAACTACTTTCCCTCTACTGTATTTGCTTGTAAGTTGTGCTGTCAATCGTCTTATCCTATACTGCCCCAATGGATGCTCCGGGCTGACCCGGGGCTGTACCTGAGCCAGCCTGCCCCAACTGGAGCAACTGTACATCTCTGTCCAACTCTGTGTTCAGTGACTGCATGGTGAGAGCTTACAATTGTGTATGCCGGGAGTAGTTTCACCATGGAAATTAGTAAGTGCTACAAATCAGGGCTTTGGGTGCAGGAATTATTGTTTTACTAGGACATTGGCCTGATCAAAAAAATACAGATTACAGTGGCAAGAAATTAGCTGATATTTTATCTACTTCAGGATAAGCTCAGTAGTTGGTACCCACCAACCCTTTCAGTAAGGGAATGTGTAAGGTTTCTGGCAGTGTTAGCAGGTAGGAAAGCTGGGCCTCTCAATTCCACTAAGGGGGAACCTAACACATCCTATTAAGCCCCTCACCCCTAACTGGCTACTAAGACAGGTGGCCAACCTGGAGTCCCAACACCACTTTTTCTTCCTTAAGAGATACCCATTAACTCTGTGCCAACTGTAGTCAGTCAAAGAGGCATCCTGAGCTTCTGATAATAATGATGATAAATAGAAATAGTAACAGCACAGTAATTGCAATGCTAATATAGGCTACCATTTGTTTAGCACCAGTTTGAGCCAGACACTGTGTTGGTGTTTTGTTTTGTCAATTTAATCTCACTGAATCCTTAATATCATTCTTATTTCATGGATGAGAAAAATTGAAGACCAGAGAGGAAAGTAAATTGCTCAAAGCTACTGTGTAACGGAGATAGCAATCAAAGCCCAGGTATGTGTGATCCCAAACCACTAGATCTTGGTCCCTGCCTCTCTACATGTGCTGTCTGAGTCTGGATCCTCTGTTGACTGTTCTCCATCTTCCCCTAATGATTTGCAATAGGTACACCCAACATATGGAGCCTGTGATAAACTCCTTTGGAGAAGAGTATCCTCAGGTTTACAAAACACAAGTCTTGCAGATTGTTGGGTAGCAGTTAATCTCCTTTCTCCCTCAGTGACACTGATACACATCATTTGGAGCAACACAGGATATTCACGCGTGAACACCTGCATCTCAAAGATCTTTACGGCTTCTGCACACCAGTTCAAGATGCCTTACTTGAAACAGAATAAGGTTGTTTCCAGCAGGAGTGAGCCCCTCATTCCTGACCGTGTTGAAGAAGCAGAGGCCCCATGACTCCTGGGGATGAATCTGCAGAACAGTGAAGAACAACCCCGAACAGCAGATAATAAGAGGCCACCTTAATTTGAGATTTAATATGGGGATAATGAATAAATTGTCTATGTGATGCTATTTCTCAAATATGCCCAAATAATAACAATTTATGACAAACAATACTGACTTCTTAGAACTGAGGGCTAAGGGTAAAAGAATGTTTTGTAAACCTCCCCCCCAAAAAAGGCTTATATAAATATTTGTTTTTCAAAGGATTAGCAAACATGGAATATGTTCCTTTACATTAGGGCATATATGTGTAATTTTTTTCCTTCAGGGTTCTTTCTATACTAGAGAAAGAGCACACATTAAAATATAAGGAGATAAAATTAATTTTTACGGATATTGGCTTGGCTGACGGATAATACTTTTCTTTGTTAACTATGGCACAGTAGAGCTGAAGAGGTACCTTCAGGGACTGCACTCAATTGGCTGTCTGCTGAAAACCTACTATGCACCCAGCATGGCGTTAGCCTCTGAGGGGGATGAGCAAGAGTGGGAGCCGTTGTCCTTGCCTTCAAGAGGCATGTGGTCCTGTCACGAGGACACACTAACATATAATATATGTTATATTTATTATGTTATTTTACATTTTGTATTTTTGCCACAGTGCAGTATAACTCCTTTCAGGTTCCTGGCTACAATTCCTATGCATGTGTGTGTGTGGTGGTTCCATGCACAGCACCAAGCAATTCTCAAACACCAGCAGGGCGTCCCAGAACTCAACTCAATTCTCATGCTATCTGCCTGGAGACAGCACCAGTTTCCCCAGGTAAAAGACTCCCTCCATCCTACAGGACTGCCCTTCACCCCCAACTATGGATGCCAGTTGCAAGCTCCAGGCAGTTCTCTGTGCTCCTGACCCACCAGCTACAGACTGGGGTCCCTTCAACCTCCCCTTAGGTTCGATTAATTTGCTAGAGTGGCTCACAGAACTCAGGAAAACACTTACTTTTACCAGTTTATTAAAGGTTACCATAAGGGATACAAATTAACAGCCAGAATGAAGAGATAACACAGGGCAAGATCCCAAATAAAGGAGCTTCTATCCTTGTGGAGCTTAGAGGCATTCTTGTTCTCCTACAGAGAAGCAGGATCCCAGAGAGCCATATACCCTTCTCAGGGGTTTTTGTGAGGGCTTTATTGCACAGTCATGACTGACTAAATTATTGGCCACTGGCTGAGTCAACTTCCAGCCCCCTTCCCCACCCCCACCGTGGGTCCAAAAGTCTTTCATTGACTTGACAAGACATCCATTTCCCCTTCAAGGCTCTGAAGTGCTTTCAGGATCTGCGGATGAATCAGATCAAATATATGTGGGAAATACATACGTGGTCATCTGAACGATGAAATATGTATTTCCTATAACTCATTATGTCACACGTGTATATACACATACACACGTATATGTCATGTTATGTTTAAGACACAGTTAAATAATAATGTGCTCATAATAAATAACGACCAAGACAATGGAATGAACTGCATGGCCGCAGGTACAACAATAAAACATTCAGAGAAGAGAAGGGCTTGCATGGACAGGACTATTTTAATCTCCAGAAAAGGAAACTGAAGCTGCAGAAGTTAAGCTGCTGGCCCTAATCCGCAGGAAAGAGGGCGCCGCACTCCAGATTCCTTGCTTTCAGCAGCTCTTTTTGAAAGGGGAAGGAAGGGGGGAGAGAGTTGACAAGACTGGGAAGCAGAGGTATTGAGAAACCCAGGTGCCATCCCCATGCGCCCCCAGGAGCTGCACAGATGAGCTCCCGATGGCAGAAAGCCCACTTCTCAGAGGACCCGGCCCAGAGCCCGGAGGGCCCAGGCAGCAATACTGCCTTTTCTACCAAGGGAGGTAACTGTCATGTGCACTTCAATGATGAAGGAAAAAAATCTTCCTGTGGATACTAAACACTGGCTCTGCCAACCCAGCCGTGCTGAGGTCACTGAAGAACCGAGGAGTTCAAAGGTTCTCTCCAGCTTCCATTTACTTTGGCATAGGATTTAACGGAAAAAGAACTAAGGCAGAATTTACATGGCCCAGGCTGGTTTCCAAATCGCAAACTGCTGAAGTTATTTAGAATTTACTTTTAACTCACAATCACATGTAAAGTGGTTCAGATGTAAATGCTTTCCGTGTGGCTCCAGGCAATCTAGGTTTCTCAAATGCACATGTGCATTTCTAATATTAAAGATTTGGATTCAAAATCTCAAAGTACTGGGGGTTCCTCTTGATTAGAGACTGCTGTTACTTTAGGCCATGGTGGGTCGGCGGAGGAGAAATAAAGCACACTGCCTTCACTGGGGCATTAGGTTCTCACAGTAGTGCTAAGATAAACTCCACAGGCAGAGGGAAGGGTATTTATTCTTTTAAATGGAGTATATAATATAAATAAATGTCTTGTAAGAAGAGATGCCTGAAACTTGATTCCCAGTCAAACTACACAAGGGCACTAATTTACTTTAATGAATATCAGGACAGCGCATATGAAGGAGGGCATGTCTTCTTGAAAGCAGTGTGGGTCTAACCATGCAGGATAACTCACTAAGTCACAGAGAGTGGCTGCTTGAAATTGTCTGATTTGTTCACTGGCCAGAGCAAATTGGTATTTGCATTTTATACAGAACAAAATGAAGGGAATTCCCGAATCTTTTATCTTGTAATCAATTTTGCCTGAAGTCATTTTCCATTTTCTCTAA